CGGATGAAGTTTAGTCTCTTGATCCTCCAGGTTGGGGGTTCGACTAGAATTTGCGTTTTAGTCGGTAAAAATTGGGGGAGTACTTGATCCAAGTAAATGGGCCTCTACTTCGCTTTGACCGCTGTCTTGCGGTTAGTTTCTTGTCAGAACTAAAGGTTTCGATTGAGAACCCTATTCGTTCTCCTGCTTAGTGGCTGGACACCCTAGCAGTACCCGTCCATCAAGCCCCAATGCATACACTGAATAAAAATAATTTCATACTGCATCGGTCGTCGAGCACGATAATCAGGACCGCGCTGCCCATCGCATCGAGATGGGTGGGTGGTGATAAGTGGGCTACTGCTCAGATATCCCAACCCAGCACTCTCCATTTTCCCCTTCTTCCGACCTGTAAGTCCCTCAGGCAACTTGGATGTCGCTTGCCAAAGGTCGTTGCTGAATAGCACTGTAACACATCTCGAAATGAATTGCAGATTCTAAAGCCTCGTCAATCACTGAATCTGGGGGCCTTCAACGTGAGGAACCTGAAGCAGCCAACAAACAGATAACGGCGATCAACTTCTTCATTTCTGCGCAGACCATCATCTGCTCCTAGCAAGCATTAACTTCCGACACAGCTATCGACGGACGGCAACGTGGCGCTCCAATTCAACCGGTACGTTAACTCAAATCGACCATATAGCAGTAAGTTACCGTTGGTGTGGCTCAGTGCAAAATCGCAGGTCCTATCGGACCACCTTCGTTGAGTCTGAATAAGCGATAGTTTGATATAGTTCACTCTTCGGCTGGCTGGTCGACGACAAAACCAGCAAACTCGAATAGTGCATCATCGACTATCTGTTCCAGCCGTTCGTGCACGCTATGAGTCAGAACTAGTGCGTGAGCTAAGCGCGCCTCAACATAATTTAAATGAGCAGTGGGATCAGATTAGGTGAGCAATGTATTCCGCTGCGAATGTTGCTTGTGGGACTGAGATTCGAGTCCATCGGAGGCATTGGATATCTGATGAGTCTGTAGCACTGATCCGGGCATCTACAACGCCAGCTCACGAAGATCCTCAAGAAGGACCGTGAGAACTGGTGGGCAACCATAGCTAGTGAAATGGAAGTAGCAACTGCATCAGGGAATGGTCAAAGACTGTTCCGACTGATACGCAATACGGGAGGTCGGCGAACTCCAGTCAGTGAAAGTCTGCGATAAGAGCGGACAAGCTATTCACAATAGGAATGAACGACTCNTATCTCAGGAGTCAGTAGCCCTGATGGAGCAAAAACAGCAAGTTCTGACCTGCCAGGATCAAAATAGAGTGAGGCGGCAGCTACAAAGTCGGCTCAAGAAGGACCGTGAGAACTGGTGGGCAACAATAGCTAGTGAAATGGAAGTATCGGCTGCATCAGGGAATGGTCAAAGACTGTTCCGACTGATACGCAATACGGGAGGTCGGCGAACTAAGTTAGTGAAACAGTCTGCGATAAGAGGAGACGAGCTATTCAAAATAGGGATCAACGAATCTATCGCTGGACAGAATACTTCAGCGAACAGTTCAGCTGGCCTAGTGCTAACCAGGCTGCTTGATCTACAACTGAAGTTCCATGGGCAGTGTCATGCGATCCTCCAACAGAAGCAGAAGTTCGGTCTTGCATNTCGCTGGGCAGAATGCTTCGGCAAACAGCTCAGCTGGCCTAGTGCTAACCAGGCTGCTTCATCTAAAACTGAAGCTCCGTGGGCAGTGTCATGTGATCCTCCAGTAGAAACAGAAGTTCGGTCTTGCATTCAAGCTCTGAAGTGAGAAAAGGCAGGAGGACCGGATGAGCTCCCTCCCACTCTTTTCAATATGGGGCGGGGGTAATAACCTCGTAAGCTCTACTACTACTCTACTGTGCAACATTTGGACGCAAGAACACATTCCTTCATCCTGGGGCGAATCACCGATAGTCCCCATTTTCAGGAAAGGATTTTGCAACGACTGTGAAAACCACCGCAGTTTGATCCCGATCGTCACCAAGGCGCTAGCTTCGGTTTTACTTCGACGTCTGACGCCTATAAGAGAGATAAGCATCCCTGAACAGCAAGCCGGATTCCGGCCTGGCCATGGATGTATTGAGTATGTAAGTTTTACGTTGCGTCAGATCCTTGAGCTGCTTCACACCCACCGTCGCAGTGTTCCTTAACCTGCGAGGAGCCTTCGACTCAGTTGACCGCGAAGCTCTGATGGGCGCCTTTCTTCGAAAAGGAATAACTTAGAAGTACGTTAACCTACTGGGGTCACTGTACTCACAGACCTCTGGTCGTGTAAGGGTCTATGATGAACTAAGTAGGCCGTTGGTCACCAGCAGCGGCGTCCGTCAAGAATTCCCTCTTTCCCCGTTCCTTTTCAATTTCGTCGTAGACGAAATACTGGAGGACAAACTTAGGGGTCTCCGAACCGGAGATATTGAATGGGCAGCTGAAGAANTCCGGCCTGACCGTGGATGTATTGATCAGGATTTTACGTTGCGTCAGCTCCTTGAGCTGCGTCATACTCACCGACGGCCAACAATCGCAGTGTTCCTTGACCTGAAGGGAGCCTTCCACTCAGTTGACCACAAAGCTCCGATGGGCTGCCTTCTTCGAAAATGAATGCCCCAGAAGTACGTTAACCTACTGAGGTCACT